TTTCACGAGTAGGAAAGAGTATTCTATAAATATGAAATTTTGTAAAAAAAGAGAGGAAAAAAAGATTGGGAAAAGAGAGCAACAAACATAAAAAGAGAATTATAATTATTATTGCAAAGGTTTCTGTATATGGAAATTTTTCTCCTGGACATTCGTTCAAATCTTGGGATTTTATACCTGACTGCAACCATTGAAGTTTTTGACCAGAATTCCACGAAAGTAGTAATTACAAAATTCCAAAGAGTGACTCCCCAATTGGGAATTTCATGGGCCGTACAATGAAAAAAAATATTCAGAATGACGTTGCTTATTCTTTGGGAGAATAAAGGTATCTGCAATTCAAATCCCATTCAGATTTTCCTAACTACTTATTTATAGAATCAGAGTTGAATAGTAACTAAAACGTTATTTAATAAAGTTAAAAAATTAATAACTCGTAACTTAATAGTTATTTTCAAATGACTCAACTTTTAATTTTAACTAGTTATTTTAAAAAATTATCAATTTTTTAAATAAAAACTTTTCTATCTGTTTGAAAGCGTTAGTATTTTTTTCTTCTGTTATATTTTTCTTTTATATTACGAGATTATATCTCCTAATGAGATGTAATCAATTAGGAGGGTATAAGATATTTTTTAACAAAATGTAATCATTGGATTTAATGCCGACTCTATAGATAGATTCTTGGAAAGGTCTTGATGGGATTTTAATTGCAGACACCTCTACGTGATAAATTCTGCAGAGGTGTTTTACTTGTTGAAACTCGCAAAAAGCAACAAAGATGATAATTTCCGCATTAAAATTAAGAAAATAATGAACTTTGAACTCTTTTTGTAGATTAAACTGTAATTCTTGGAGATCGTTCCCAAATTAAGATTTTTGATTGGTATCCTAAAACTATAAAATCTAAAAGTTTTGACGAATTCTACCGTGAGACAATTTCTCATAAGCTGTATGCGGGATTCTTTAATAAAGCTAATTTTTTATAAATTTGACTGTTTTCCACGTTTTCAGATTAATCAAATTGAAATTGGTTTTCAACGTATGCCAAAAGTTAAACCGGTTTTCTACACGGCGGTCGAGAATATACTCGCGTTACTTTCGCTCGATCGTACGGTACCGCACGAAAATCGTCAATCGTGGAACCGCCTTCCTGGCGCCTCGCAGGAATCTCTCCCGTTTCGATATCGAATCGATCGCGGTCGCATCCACCTCGCCCGTGCGATCGTGCAATCCTAGTCGGCGCGTTCCTTACCTGGCCGATTCAGCGCGCCGAAGGAGAATGAACGAGACACGCGCGCGGGGCGGAGAGGCGCGAGAAACGATATGCAGATTTAACGTCGCGAGTGACCTTTGTCGGTCGTTGCACGTTCCGTCAGATAGCGGCGGTTGCATTTATACTCTGTTCCGCGGTCGACGGTGCATACCAGAACCCGGCACGGTGCAAGGAGGTCTCGCGGAAGAAAGGAGAGGGAGTCGCGCGGGGGTCCATCGCGGGGAGCTACCGATCTCTCATCAGTGACCATTCGCCTTATTCACCGAGGCCCGTGCAGGAGCCGATTAACGAGTCGACGTCCGCCCTTCGTTCTCTTCCTCTCTACCTCTCGTGATCGCGCTATCACGTCGTGAGTTATCGATCGCGAGTTCTACAATCTCTTTGGAAGCAGCCGAGATGCGTTCTCGTTGAGACAATGATCGCGAATTAATTTCTAGGGCAGAAAACGATTTCTTTGGCAGTATTCCTTTCTTTCAGAAAACTTTGAATGTTCAACGTTATTTTTTTTTTCTTGATGTGCTGAATTTATAATCAACGAAAGCGTTGATTGAAACAATTACTCGCAATCGCAGATTTTTAAATTTTGATCTTTAAAAGAAATTGCAGATTAATCGGACATAAAAAATTATTAATCGTTTAATTGATTACTTTTTTAAATGAAAATTTTTTCGTCTCTGAAAGCGTCAATATTTTTTTCTTCTATTATATTTTTCACTTATATTACGAGATTCTATCTCCTAATGAGACGTAATTATTGGATTTGACGCATAGACTCTATAGATGGATCTTTCCAGCGCGCGTATCTGGGAAATCGAAAATTAAATCATTAATTCTTCGGCGAGTTAACACAGTGTTTTGGCTGCACGCGTGTATTATCGGGCAGAAGACCAGGATACGCGGTCACGCGAGCATTGTGACGGATATAAGCGCGTGCTTCCGAGAAATCTTGACGGCGAGAGGTCGGGTATCGCCGGCGATCGCTGATAATTGCGCGGTGAGTTCGCGTAATTATCATCAACGTGCCTCACGTTTTCCGAATGCGTGCGATCCGTCGTCGTAGGTGAGCCCCGGGAGTACGTTTCGATTACCGCGTGCAACGTGCACGGTCGATCACGTTTTGGGCCTCTCTCCACGCGCGCGTCTCTTCTTCACGTCATCTTCCCTCGCTCCTCCTGCTCCTCTTTTCCTCCTCCGTACAATCCAGTTCGTTTTACGGCAGGGGGAAAGTGGCGCGTCTGTCATATGCTATCGTCCGGTGGCTATACGGCTTCGCATGCGTAGCAGCCTCTTCGCATAGCGTACCTTTGTTGCGCGAACGCGTGATTTATCTGTAGTGCGTAAGTGGATTCTGCACGCGCCAAGAACTTGCGCGTTCACCGATCAGTCGCTCATCGCACTTTAGAACGATATGAAGATGCGTTTTTCATATCAACGCACTTCAAAAGAAAAGTTATTACTATCCATTGTAAGTTTTAAATCTTAAACCAAGATTAAAAGAAAAGAAAGATAGAAACTATAATTCTTAATTTTTAAAATAGTAATAGTAAGTAGATTGTATTTGATTCAGTTTTGCAAAATAAAAATGTATAACAAAAATGAAACAAAATATTCTTATTAACTTTTTGAAATAGAATATTTTTGTATATTTTCAACATTTTTGCATATAAAAGCATCTATTTTGTCGCTACGATATATTGTCGATATGATATATTTCGATTAACAGCAAGTCTTCGAAATTGAGTCTTCAGAAATTTTTTTGTAAATTCTTTCCTGTAGCAAATTAACATAAATATTTGGAAAATGTGTTATATGACAAATGACCATTCACAACGTTTGGAAAAACTCTATTCATCGATCGCTGTGAATGACTGGAACCCCCAAACAGGACCCTTTTTACTTTTTATTCTCTGACATGACAAATAATCTTTGACAACGACAATAGTCTAATCTTAGGATCTTCCTTCCTCCTTTCCTGTTGTAAGGTGCTTTCCATGAATGGCTTTTAGAGACACAAGCCGACACAAGTAAGTTTTATCTTTGTTACTCACTAAATGTTAAGAAAAAAAGAATAGAAGGACTGTAAGTAGTTTGTGTCGACTTGTGTCATATAGACAATGGAAAGCACCCATCGTATCCTGGTTAATAAAAGATTCAACCTTTTTCGAATCTTTTGAAAGGTCGAGGCGGTTGAAATTCTGAAACGTCTCTGCTAGCCTTCTTCAGGCGGTCAGTAGAGCGATAGAAAATTGAGCTCTTCCTCTTCTCTTTTTTTTTATTCTCCTCCCCTCCCCCCCCCTTTACTTTAATTAAATTCGATCCGCTGAGGCGCAATCGACGTACAAACTCGCACGTGATTGGTGAACACGAGCGATAGCTCTCACGTGAGCGGAGGCGAGTGCACATACTTACAGGTACTCGTAAGGTGAGCCGAGAAGGCCAGTCGTGTGTGTGTAAGGGCAACGGGTCGTTGGTAGTTTTGTGTGCGTCTATGTGTGCAGAGATATTAGGAATACATTCATAACGTTCTCTCATGACTATAAACGCGACTTACGAGGAACTGGTTGGTTACGTGAAGTTTTTATTTACTCACGGTAAATATGGATATGGAAAGACGCAATATTTTTAATTGAATGTAGAGTTTCACTCTCAGAATATCAGGGCACGCGCGTGCCCAATTAGTCCCGAGATCTTTTTCAAATAATCAAATTACGCGCACAAACATTTCGATAAAGCAGATGACTTGATTTATAAAAGCCCAGCCGAAGGACCTGTTGAGTCCAGGTAGATAACTATCTAACTTTTTTTTCGACTTTATCCGAAAAGGATTTTTGGACGAAGAAACTCATAGGTGCCGAATGCAGAAATTTAAAAAGTATTCTATATAAAAATTTAGTCTTTACTCTCTCTCTCTCGCTACATTATACATTATATATTTAATAATTTATAATATATCAATCCTTGTTAAATGTAAATTATTAAATATATGATCAAATCGTTTCTCGTTAAATATATAAACGTATGATATATGTTTCATAATTATGTTGATACATAAGAAATTTTTTGATCATCTAATGTAGAATATTGAAACGTCTCTGAATATCTTACAAACGAACATAAACAAGTATTTACCCTTTTGATTTTAATAAACTTTAAATATGTTAACATATAGAAAAATAAGAAATGTCTACTTTTAATTATAAGTGCGTTGTCACACATTAAGGGTTTTAAATTCTCTTTTGAAAAAAATCGGTCTTTTCTGTTTAAATAAATATATGAATTTAACTGTTAAAAATATTAAAAAAATGTTGCAAATAAAAATTTTACGGTTTTAACGGTACACTTTACAACGGTACATTTAAATTCTTGAAAAGTTAAGGCTGGGCGTGGAAATGGACTGAAAAATATATTTAAAAAAATTTAAGTGCAAAAATATTTGTTATTAATTATTAATAATTATTTAGATAAAATAATAAATATTATTTAATTTTTATCTAGAATTGAAATTCTTATGAATGAGTATATTTATAATCTAGATTTTTAAAACCCATACGTGAAAACGTGAAGAAACGTGAAGTCTACTCTAGTGTCGATAAATATCTCAGAAACAAATCTTTGCTGGCGCAGCACGGAGAAGTTGTCATTTGGTAGGCAAACGATCCAGGAGGGATCACATTCGTCCACTGCTTGGCAACGAACATTTAGCCCGATACTGTGGTCGATGTTACATCGCGTATTCTTTCCTGCAGTATATTTCTTTCAAAAATAAACGACTATTGTACATCTACATTTCAGCTAAATTTATCATAATCGGTATTTATCGAGTAAATTATAATTTCTTGTATGTTTCTTCATATAAAATCGCGCATATCTCCTTTTCCTTGCTACAGTTTCGAGTTTCATAATTCCCGCTGAACCAGTTATTTTATTATTCAAGGCGGGCGTGGACGTGGCTGCTGTAGCTTCTGTTGCAAGAGTTCGGTGTTCACAGATTTGGTGAGTTTTGATCTATGTTGTACTTGTTTCCTGAGTTTTTACGCAACTAACTGTTTTATATAATTGTTATGCGCTAAGAATATATACATATATATATATATATATATATATGTTTTTAACTAACAATTTACTCAGAAAGCATGATTTGTGTGATATATAAAATGCAATTAACCTCCAAAATTATTATTAAAACTACAAATTTTACGAAGAAAGTATACGTAATAGAGTTATATTCAAAATTGTTTCACAAAAGCTTTATGCAACTTAAGATATACTCGGAATTTTGCAAATTTGAGATTAAAAATGATACATACATAAGATCTATTCTTCTTGCTTGTATTCAGAATCTCTCTCTTTCTCTCTCTCTC